AATTACTTTTGTATCAACCATTAATAATGTCCAGGGGGAAATTAATCGATCATTAATTATATCCCAATGGTTTATACCAATTTTTAACAATATACAAAGAAAATTATTTTTTTACCATTCATTATATTTTACTTTCTGTTATAAAACAAAATTTTTGAAGTGTTTGCATTTTTTATGAGTTTCTTATAAACAGATTGCAGTTTCTAAGATTTGTTCTAATATTTTTTTTTTACTTTTAATTTACCAGTTATTATCGATTTAATTACACTATGTAACACAATTTTTGTTTCCGGCTTCTACATGTTATATTTTAATTGCTTATGTTTAAAGTATGTGAAAAAATGACTTCATTGAGCACACTACTTTTAATTACACATTCAGGCAGATCATGTATACTTTTGATATTAAATACTGTCTAAACTAATCTTTTTTGGAGAAATACTCTCTTTAAGGTGTACATTTAATCCACAGGTGATGTTCCACATGTTGATAGTTTAACCTTACCCTGTTTTTCATCCCCAATAACTGATATTTAGAATTTTTGATGTGATTTTTCACATTTTTACCTTTCTATAAAATTTTTTTTTTATGTTGCATTTAAGAAACTAAGACTAAAGATAAATACCTCTTTCTTATATATTGCAGTCTTGCACTTAGGACACATTCCAGTAGGAAAGGAATTCACTTTAACATCAAAACCTTTATCTATATGCTTCCTAATCTTTTCTTTGCCTAGATTTTTTAAAGCAATTTGAGCTGGATTTTGTAGGGGTATACATTGTTTGTTCTTGTTGCAACATCCAAAACTGATTATATCTTTGCACTCGCGATGATTTCTTTTCCGATTCATTTACTTTTTTTTAAATTTAATTTTTTCCTGCTAAAATACATGAAATACTTTACACATATTTAAAACTTTAAATATATATGTTTACATATATGTAAATATATATAACATATATAATTCTAAAAACAAATGTGTTCTTGTTATATTCTGAAATTTATTAGGCTCTGTTTTGCCAAAGACAACAAAGTTTTGTTACATAATTAGTTACCAATAAAAAAACAACAACAAAAACATGAAATTTCAATTTAGGAGCGGGTACAATTTTAATTTTTGGCTATGGTTGTTTGAGTGTGTTTTTCTGCCAAAAAAAATCCCATGTACCCTCAACTTCAACCTAAACTCTCTATCTGAGAGCAATGGCGGGGATCCTGCATATGCTTAAAGGTTTTTATCTTAGAAGGACCTTTTGGAAAAAAATATTGTTTTACTATATTCTTTATATGATCAACAAATATTTTTTTATTCACTTCATTCATGCTTTCACTAATTGAATTTTTTAATTATTTGATTTAAAGGGTTTTGAGTGTTAATATATTAGTACTTTGCATAATAAAATGGAAACATTATCTAACATTGGCCTCAAAAATAATTGCAAAATATGTTTATTATTATGTCGCATAAATTGCTTTTAAAGATTGTAATAAATTAAAGAAACCAGGTTAAAATTAAGAAATCACAACAGTCAGAATTTGCGATCTTGAAATTATGTAAAGGAAATCACAATCAGAGATTTCTAAGTATTAATAATATATTGCTTGTAAAATTAAATAATATTTTTAATTAAAACATTTAATTAGTAAAACTATTTAGTTTTAAATTTAATTATTGTTTTGTTGACAACCTGACTATTTAATTGCTTTTTAACCTTTAAAGCTTTGTAAAGTTAAAAACTCAAGTTTGATATCTGACTTTTTTATGCGGTTAAAATTCAAAATGATTAAAAATAGTCTTAAAAATTTGCTTTTCTAAAAAGTTTTACTATTAAATTTATCCTTGAAAAAAAAATGTATCTATTATTAGTTATTAAAAAAATATATTGCTATTTGAATAGATAGATATAGAATCAAAACAAAAAAAATAGCTGTTAGACTAGTTAAAGTTTTGTGCTTTTTTAATCGAAATTATAAAGTATCACATAAAAAGATTCAAAAAGGTGATTTTAAAACATAAAAATTATTTTAAACAACGAAAGAAAAAAAAAAAGAATCTTGTTTGCGCTTTTAAATGTTTTGTATGAACACAAATATCATTTAAACTATTTAGTATAATCTTTCTTGTTTTAATTAAAATAGATGTTCTTTGAAACATGTTCTTTGAAACAAAAGTTAAGCACTTTGAGAATTTCTAGTTTTACAAGTTATCAGACAAATTTTTATTTTGAATAAAACTTAAATATATATTATATATTAAGTCACTTATATAGATATATATTAAGTCACTTAACATTATAAAGTTTTTTTTCAGCACAAAATGTTATTTTAGCAGCTAACTGTCAGGTGATGAAAATTATCCATTGATTTTTCTAAATTCTTAAAAATTATCCATTAATTTTTCTATTTTCTTCTAAATATTCTCCCTTTATTTTAAATTTATCATAATTAAGTTTTTAGGCAATGATGTACAATTTCATACTAGAATAAAGATCATTATATGTCATTATTTTATTGTCTTGCATTATCTTATGTCCTTGTTTTAGTGTTTGAAACTTTTTTTCATAGTTTCTCTATTATATTCAAACTTGAGCATCTTATTTTCTCAGAAATCACCCACAAATTACGTCATGCGCTAGGAGGAAGGAGGAGTTAGCAATATTAAGATGATTTTTTAATAGGGGAGAAATTTTTTAAATATTACAGATAATTTTGTTCTGGAAATATTTTACTAGTGTTTATATTCTAAAATGAATATAAACACAAATAAAATATTTTATTTTTTAACATTCAATAAAATATTAAAACATTCTTCAATTTTTGAATAAACTTGCTGAAATAACAAACTTGATTGAGTTTTTTAAACTTTAACGTTATTTTTTACTGAAAATTTTCA